GAGCAAGCAACCTTTACTCAGTGCATTCTTGGCTTTCCTTTTCCACATTAGGACTATGACAGAGCAAAACTTTCTAAGACCCCACCTTTGGAACAGTGGTCCACTGAGCACTCCGACGTTAGGTGCTAGAGACCTGGATAAAGGATAAAGAGACGTAACTGGAGGCAGATGCTAGCAGATGATCTTGTCAATTTTAACTAGGATACAAAGGGAATTGGAGTGCCTCTTTAGAACAAAAAAAGTCCTGTAAGCTTAGGGAAGAAGGTAAGGGCTGCTGGGCTATGATGCAGCAGGCCATTAAAGCTCATCTTAATTTTAACTGTGTGCCTAACTCTTTGCTCTTGCTTAAATCCCACTGAAATCTGTAGGTTTTAGCACATGCATACATGCCTTGCTGAATCAGCACTGTAGCTTGTTATCTGAATTGCTGCCCTATTACATATAAACCACAAAAGATAAATACCATAAACTTTATTATCATTACATTGCATTTTCATTTAACATTAAACTGAAGAGTCTGTCTGCCTCAGCTAGAGGCTCAGGTGGAACACAAGCTTTTCTGGCAAATGGAATGTTGGGCAACACCCTGGTTATGGCAGCTCTCTTCATATCACGGAAAAGGATCTGGGATCTAGACTCTTGTGTAAGATCTATGAATCTGTAGTTGCTAAACAAGAATATGCTTTATAGCCGAAAACTTAATTGTGCTCTGTTTGAGTAAGTGTACTCACTACATTAGCAGCCCTTAAGCAGATTGTGGCCCTCCCCGCTACAGAATTTCTGTCACAGAGATGGCTTGTGGCAAAGTCCAGAATTAATGTGGGTTTTGTATCATGCATTATGTTGTCCATTATGCTCATATTAGGATATATACTTCAACTATATAGGATAAAATACATTATGGTCTACTTTCAAATGATTCATTCATTTGGCCAACAATATTTAATTTATGCCTTTTAAAAATTATTGACTATTTAGATCTTCAGTAAAAAACTTCTGAAATTACTTGTAGTTGTATGTAGTGCCTTTTAAATAGTATGTTCTCTGTCTGCGTCTCATGTACCACATAGAACTGTTCATCTTTATCCCAACCACCAGAGACAGAAAAAGATGTGTGGACACGATGTAATTTCCTACACAGCAGGCAATTTACACTGGGAGTATGTGGAAGTTAACTTCTGAAGAAACAAGTTAGCAAATGTAAACTATTCAGTTTTGCTGTTTGTGCTTTTCCTTGTCATAGCATGTAAGTTCACAGTAACCTGGGACACAGGCACACCTGACCATTGTTCCCACTTAAATAACCCCAGCATTAAAGCTGTATATCACACTTAACAGACTCTATGCTGGGGGCAGCTACAAGAAAATGCATTCCCTTGTTGACCAGCAGTATTGTGGTTCAGCAAAGTTACTGGTGACCAGAGCTAAGTTCTATATGCAAGGAGACGCTGGGAAGCCATTTATTGCTTGAAAAACAGGAGGACGTTAGTCTAAAATCACCAATAGCAAGGCAAAAGAGATTCTAGTACATTTTATCACAAAATTAGCCATATTATTTGTTCTGCCTGGTCTCAAGTTCCAGACTAGCTTCTGTTGGTGTTCAGTCTGGCAAGAGTCTCCGGCAGTAGAGAATCTGCTAAAGAGACGAAAAAAAGGCCAGTGTGATCTCAGAGTATGTGATGACTGCTGTGTGAAAATACTATTCAGTATATTTGTCATCTGCTTCTGAAAAAAAAAAAAAAAGAGTGTCTGTATGAGACTCAAATGCACAGATGTCTAATTGAAATGGTTGTTTTTCACATTCATCAGTTCCCCAACACAGTTTACCATGTGTCTGTACAAACATGTGTGTCGTCTCACCGCATAGGTGGTTGGGGATTTAAATAAGCAGCTGGAGGCAAGGGATGCTTTCTATAACAGTTCTGTCTTAAACATGTGTCGGAACATAGCCTCAGAGAGTGAACCCAGCAGTAAAGTATCCTTCCCTTCCTTTCTGTTGAATACTATGTAAGGAATTGCCACTGTCAGGTGTAATTTGTCTCATCCCTAATTCACAATTTCATATGAGTACAGGTGAATCTAATCTTAATTAGGAATCCTTTTCAAAGCTTTATACCAATTCTAGATAAGTTGCCAGGATCTCAAGTACAGGATTTATAACCTTCCCTGATAGAAAACATGAAATGAGCTTTTAGAAAGTAGTAGTATTTAAGTTCTTTTGTTTTGTCTTCTTGATTTTCATGTCTTAGAGGTGATATTTTCAAGGTCTTCTGTATAAACAACAGAATTAAAAACCTGCTTTAAAAAAGATACCCTTCAGATTTTCTCACAAAGATATGATTTCAAGAGCTTTAAGAGACACACACACAGAATACAATGAATCTCATTAAGAAGATTGTGAAAGTTTGGCTTTGTGCATTTTGGCAAGCTTCCAACAGCACAGAGCAAACGTGATTTACCCAGTGTTACGAGAAGTGCAGATGTGCTCACAGTGAGCTCTCGCATCCTTATGCTACCTGTTCAAGACCTGCGCAGACTTCCAGGCTGTCATGGTGTAACCCCAGCTGGTAACTAAGCACCATGCAGCTGCTCACTCACTGTCCCCCCTTCCCGCCCCCGCCCCCCC